CAAGTTCAGATACTGTCACATTTGTCTTCCCCTCATGGCTCCCTGATCAGGGTCAGAAGATAACTCAGAGGGTTGACATGGCTTGACACATTGAAGCCCTGCTTCAATCCTCCAAGCACTGCTAGGTGTGATTACTGAGCACTAAACAGGAGTACTCCCTGAGCACTGCTGAGTGTGGTCCCTCAACCAAGCCTGAACAAAATACAAACAATAAAATCACATCTTTTCAGTTCTTTTATTTTGGTTTTTGGATCACAGCCATGCTCAGGGCTTACTCCTGGTCCTGTGCTCAGGAATCCTCCTGGTTCTGGGCTTAGGGGACCATCTGCAGGGTTGCAAGCAAGGCAGGTGCATTGCCCACTTTAGGCTCTCTTTCCCAAGTGCAGGCCCCTTTTCCTCAAGGTGAAGGCTGAGCTTTTGGATGATTGTTCTCTGTCCAGCTGATACTCTTTCCCACAGCCCAGGAGCTCAGGACCCTTGCCACCTCCCCATGCCCCCTCTGCCCTGGGGCCGGGGGAAGGTTTAGGAAGCAAAGTTCTTGGCACCCTTGTGGAAGATGGTGCAGGACTGAGTGATGTCATTGGTGAGACAGGAAGCACATAAAACTGCGAAGTGTCCTAATGTAGTTTCCAGCTGGTGGCAGGTGCCTAAGATGCAATGGAAGGAGAGAAGCAAGGAGCACGTATGTTTGTGTGTTTGCATCCTGGGGGAGGAGGTTCTAAGCAGCAGAGCAAGGGTGGGGGTGGGGAGGGCTAGGCATGGGGTTTGGGCGACTTCTCAGTGGGGAGTACTGGGGGCAGATGGGAGGTGGGGGGCAGCTGGCAGTAGAGGGACAGGGGAGCTGTAGGGATCTGATAAAACGCCTTCCAAGAGCTTGGATAGTCTCCATCCCAAAGAGGGTTGGACAGCTGAGAAAAGCTGGACAGTTCTGCTCTTGTATTTATTTTTTTCATTAATTTACTTATGGGCTAGAGCAACAGCACAGCAGGTAGGGCATCTGCCTTGCATGTGGCTGACCCAGGTTAGATTTCTCTGTCCCTCTCAAGGAGCCCGGCAAGCTACTGAGAGTATCCCAGCCGCACAGCAGAGCCTTGCAAGCTCCCCATGATGTATTCAATATGCCAAAAACAGTTAACAATTCTCACAATGAAGATGTTACTGGTACCCGCTCAAGCAAATTGATAACAACGGAAGGACAATGCTACAGTGCTTAAAATGAGGGACAGAAAGAAGTACAGCAGGTATGGTGCTTGCCTTGCACAAGGGCAACCCGGGTTTGATTCCCAACATCCAGTATGGTTTCTGAGCACCACCAGTACTAATTCCAGAGTTTAGAACCCAGAGTAACTACTGAGCACTGCCAGGTGTATCCCAAAGAGAAAACAAAACAAAAGAATATTTCAAGTGAATCCACATATTCAATGAGGATTTTGTAATTTACATTCTCCTTTTGGGAACAAAGCAAAAGCGTTAGAAAAGCTACTCGCATGCCAAGTTCAGGGGGGAGGGGACAATTTTGGAAAAAAATAAGTATGTGCAACTGCACACAAAACTGCAAGTGGCCAGAAGGGAAACCAACTAAAATGGGGGGGGGGGGGAATCTAAAAATAAGCTTTCAACACTGATTCAACTGTCTTCATTTAGATTTTCAAATTATTTGTCAGGTAAAACTGAGAGCTAAAGGTTGAGGAGAAAATCCAAATGGTTACAGAGCATGATTTGCATGGAGGAGTCATGGGTTCAGTCCCTTGTATATACTGTTCCCCAAAACACCAGAAAGTGGCCCAAAAAGATAACAGAAGGGACAACTAAAACAGAGCTAAAAGTTTGTAAACATTTTTAGAAATAATTGGTGATAATACGGCAGGAAGGAAGCTTGCCTTGCACTTAGCAGACTAGGGTTCGATTCCCAGCATCCCATATGGTTCCCTGACCACCACCAGGAGTAATTTCTGAGTATAGAGCCAGGAGTAACCCTAAGCACTGCCAAGTATGGCCCAGAAACAAAACCAAAACCAAACAAAAAGAAATTCTGCTATCACTATATTTATCTACATTTTAAAAGTTCTCAAATACCACTGCAGTCAAGCCAAATAATTTTTAAATTGAATAAAATGACAGAACAATGCAAAGTAAGTTATTACTGATAATCAAAAGAAGCATATGATAGCACAGCAGGTAGGTCGTTTGCCTTACACGTGGCCGACCCGGGTTCGATTGCTCCATCCCTCTTCAAGAGCCCGGCAAGCTACCGAGAGTATCCTGCCCACACAGCAGAGCCCAGCAAGCTCCCCTGGTGTATTCGACATGCCAAGAACAGTAACAACAAGCCTCACAATAAGACGCTACTGGTGCCCGCTCGAGCAAATCTATGAACAATGGGAGGGCAGTGCCACAGTGCTATCTCACGGAGTTTCGATAAAAAATACTAATAATAAAAAACCTAGTTCTCGATAAGTTTCCTTTAAAAAAAAAAAAAAAGAAAGAAAAAGAAAGCTTCAGGCTAGCATATGATTGGGGTCATACTTTATTTGAGTCATACCCAGCATTGCCCAAGGACTATTCCCAGCAAAGTGCTTAGTGCTTGGGGTTTTATTCCTGGTGGGCCTAAGGAGATAATTTGGTGCAAGGGATCAAACCTGGGCCTCCTGCATGCAAAGAAAAGCTAGCTCTCCAGTTACCTCTAATTTTAAATTACATCAAGACTTAACAAATTCAGACAACAGGAGTAGTTTAATTTTATTTGAGGCCCAGTGATTTCATGAATTGATTGTTCCAACACCCCACCCTCTACCAGAATGTCTGTTTACCTCTCCCATTGTCTCAGTGTTCACCTCCCTAACTCGCCCACCCACCCTAGATAAACTCAGTTCTGTACAAAACCATTGCTTCTAAAGTCACCTAGAATTGGTCACCTAAATCTAATCATGAAAAACCATTAAATACACACACACTGACTGATACTCTACAAATTAACTGGCCTGGAACTTTCAAAAGTATCAAGGTCAGGTAAGGTCATGGGGAGACTTAGAAACTATTATAGATTAAAGAAGCAAAGAACACAGAATTACTAAATGCTTTTAAGTTGATCTTTTAATTATTAAACTATTCAATATTCACATGGAATTTGAGGATCCGATGCCAGCAATGTATCAATGTTAATTATCCAAATCTGATTATTGTTTTGGTTGTTGTACTATGTAGTAGAATGTGCCTGTCCCTAGAAAATATATTTCTTCAAAGTACTCGAGGATAATAGGGCACCATTAGTGCAAGTTATTCTTAAACAGTTCAAAACAAAAAGTTCTGCAACTGCAACTTTCCTGCAAGTTTAAAATTGCTCCCCCGAAAACATTTTTAGTTATCTTCATTACTGACAAAAATGAGAACGGAGCTTACTTTTATACTGACTCTTGTTTCCTGTTTGTTTTGGGGTCACACTCAGGCAGTGTTCGGGGTCTACTCCCAGCTCTACACTCAGGAGTTACTGCTGGAGTGCAAGTCAGGAACATGTGGGATACCGAGGATCAAACGTGAGTTGGCTGTGTGCAAGGCAAGTACCCTACCCATTGTACTACTTCTCCAGCCCCAGCTTTAGTCTTTTCCTTCTTGGATCATACTCTTGTGCTTCATACTTGTTAAAAGAACCACTAAATCAAGTCTGAAGAAAAATGCTGACAGCAACACAATAATACCATTCTCCCACCATTGACTAGTTCTAGCTATCCTACTGAATATTCAATTAAGAAATTAATTGATCCTTCTAGGAAGAAATAGATGAGATGGGCATAAAAGAATTGATAAGGCTCTCCATTCCCAAAAAGTTGAGTACATATTGTTTGCCAGTACTAACAGATCATTCTCTAGGACAAGCTATATGTGATACACAAAACAAGCTTCCATAAAATCAAGAAAAGTGCTACCAATGATAAAATTTCTCTCATGAGAACCATGTTTTAAAGCTAGAAACAAATCACAAGCAGAAAACCCGAACACTTGGAATTTGAACAACACACTACTTTAGTAGCAAGTTACTAAATCAACACACAGAAATTTCTTGTATCCTTGAATTCGTTTTTTTTCTTTTTTAAAAAAATTTGGAGGGGGGGGGCTGGAGAGATAGCACAGTGGGTAGGGTGTCTGCCTTGCACGCAGCCAACCCAGGTTCAATTCTCAGCATCCCATATGGTCCCCTACACACCGCCAGGAGCAATTCCTGAGTGCATGAGCCAGGAGTAACCCCTGTGCATCGCCAGGCGTAACCCGAAAAGCAAAAAAAAAAAAAAAAATTTTTTTTGTTTTCTAGGCTACACACACCCATCAGTGCTCATAAGACTGTATGTGGTACTAGGGATTCAAACTAGGATCAACTGAAGACAAGGCAAGTACCTTAAGTCTTGTACAATGTCTCCAGACCCATCTCAAATGTAAACAATAAAGAAATGTCTTTTAAAATCCCATTTTCAAAAAAAAAAAAAATCCCATTTTCAATCATGTCCAAAAATATGCAAATATTTGGGTACTGATGTAACAAAAAAAGGGGAATGATTTATTTAGTGAAAACTATGAATCACTTCTTAAAAGGTATGACTGACACAAAAAATTGGAAACATTTCCAGTTCATAAAAAAATGAAATTTATATTGAACCAGAAAATACAACAAATAAAGTCATCCTACAGAGGGGTGAAGGAAAGCACTGTGCCCCCAGACATTTAACTATACTACAAAGCTACAGTAATCAGAATTACAAGGACTCTCTGATCAATGGAACTGAATTGGTAGTCCAAAGATAAATCCTTACGTGTGGAGAGTTAATTTATATCAAAAAGTCTAGGTTTATTAGGAGCAAAGAAAGTCTCTTCAACAAACGGTGCTGGGAAAACCAGATAGCCCCACTTTAAAAAAAAAAAAAGAAAGCAAAAGAAAGCAAAAGAAACCAGACCCTTACCTCACGTTGTTCACAAAGGTTAACTCAGAAAGACTCTGAATAAGCTGTTACCTGAGAGATATGATTGATGGAAGACTCCATTCTCCTAAGCTGAGATGCTTGGATGTCCAGCAATTGGAGTACATTGTTGGCCAATGCATTGATTTGATATGCAACACTAGCTAGGGATTGGGTTGTATAGGCTTTGGTCTCTTCTAAAGCTTTTCTCTTGTCTGTAGCCTGAAATAAGAACAAAAACAACACATATTTATTTAGGTTAACATTCATTCTACATGTTTTATAAAAGAGTTTTAATAATATAAACTTTCAAATGAATCAAATACACATGGGACAAATTGGGTAACAGAAGCAAAAACAGAAGAGTTGGTTCTAAATTACTGCCTAACTCAACCACCTATTTATTTTACTAACATCTTTAGGACCTTAGTGTCAGCCCCAAGCTCTCTACCAACTGTTCAGAATTTAGCTAAACTAATTTGTATCCCGGTCATCCATTTTGTCATGCTAAGTGTCTTGAACTGAACTAGCCCCTCTCACAAGCACATGCTACAGATCAGGGTTCTCAACCTTTTTAAACCTTAAGACCAAGAAAAATAGAACCATTTCACGGACCAGCTAACAGTTGAAACAGTAGACAGTATTTTATTTATTAAATCCAGTGTTATAAAATTACAATTTGAAAATTGTAATTTTATAACACTGGATTTAATAAATAAAATACTGTGTAACATATGCTAGTGTAACATATGCTGCTGCCTGGTTACAACATGATTGGCGGGAATTTCTGCAGACCACCAGAAAATTTCCAAGGACCACAGGTCCTTACTGATGGACCTTCTCATGTAAACTAAAATATAGCTCTCCAAACACTTCTTGTGGAAAAGAGTCTGTCCAGTCCCTGAGGAGCCTTCCCCTTTTACACATTTTGCATACCCCTTGTAGAAGAACCCTGAGGAACTAATCAAAACATTCCTTTTTGGTTTGAACAATCCAGTCGAAATATAGGAACCCCAAAGTTCTCCAATGAGGACCCTTATAAAGGTCTGTGCCCTGCACTGACCTCTTCGTGTTTCCCTTGAGACATGCAGTTTACCTTTTCCAAGGCCTGAAACATAGCTCTCTTTCATTTTGTTGAAACCTGGCTCAGTATCCAGCCCCTCTGGGCTCTACTTAATAAACTGATTTAATCGGGGATGGAAAGAAAGCTCAAAGGTTTAGTGCCTGTGCTTTGCCTGCAGGAGACCTGATTTAATCTCATAGTCCCCTGAGAAACACTGGAAACAAACACCAGCACTGAGTGGAGAGTAGCCCTTGAGAATCTTCAAATGTGGCCAAATGCCCCCCTCTTAAAATTCAGATAAATCTTAACCAAAAACAAGAGAGATACAGATTAGATTTCATTTCACCTTATATACCTTCTACAATAATCATCATTAGGAATTCATCTTCATTAACCATTCTGACCAAACCTCTCCTTCCCCACAAAATCTACAGCAAATCTAATGCCAAAATCTCCCAATCCTTGACCCACTCTCCTTTCTTCCCAAACTCCTTAAACAAGAGGCAGGTGGTGAGAACTCTTCAAGAGGAGTGAAAGTGAAAGGCAAATGATAAACTAAACCTGTGTATAAAGGCGGAGGGGGCAGCACGTATCCTATGAGACTACTTTCATTATTTATAATCTCAAATAAAAAAAAAAGACCATGAATCAATTTTTTAATGGTTATGCTTTTGGTGTACAAAGTTGCTGTAATTCTGTTACAACGAAGAAACCAAAACTACTTTTATATCACTTCCAGTCTGTCCTATTCCTTCCCCCACCTTGGTAACTTCTGTTCTGTTGTCAAAGTCCAAGTTCAGCTTAATGGCCAAAGATGTGGCTCAGTGGCAGAATATCTGCCATGTTCAATTCCTGGTACAGTCCCACATGCTAAGTATAATGTTAGCAGCAATAGTGTCTGTGTGCCCTCTCCCCCCATACACCACATGTGTTCCAGCTCCAGTGCTCTGCAACCAAGCATGCAACCCTCGGACACTGCAATGATAACAACAATAAGAAAAGAGAAGGAGAAATGACCAAAAAGGAAGATGACTGTTAAGAACTGCTGAACTCAAAATAACGTGCCCAAGAACTCTATAGGAAATTCCTTAGAAAATTAGATTTTATGAGCAGACAATATAGAAAACTGTTCACATTTTTCCTCACGTTTCCAACTACAAACACCAAGCTTTACTCAGGCAGTTGTCTTGTAGAAATTTCCACAATCTGAATTCGTGTGATTGTTTCCTCGGGGTTAAGTTCAAATTCAATAGAGTGGCAGGAACAAAATATAAATGATACTGTGAGATTCCTACAGTAGGCAAGTCATACGTATTTTAAAACAAAACACAGTTGTTTCCATGATTTTCTTCCAAACTGTTGGCACCAATTCTGCATCATTTTGATGCTGTAACTGTCCTAATCTTACCAGGTCTCAAATAAATATCTTAAGGCAAAATCCAGGACTCTATTCTTTGTTGAAGAGTCCTTAAATGGTCTGTTGACAAATAACAATAATCAAGCTAAATTACCTGGAAAAACAACTTCATACAAAGACAAACAATGGCAATTGCTATTTGGCTGACAACTTTCTAAGGACAATATAAACTATAAAATGTATTACATATATTCCAATTTCAGAAATGCTAAAATGTGGGCAGTAATGAGCAAGTTTCTCAGAACTGATCAAATACATAGGGGTTGGAGAGATAGTACAGTGAGCGAGATGACTGCCTTGCATGCACCAGACCCTGATTCAATCCCCATCATCACATATAACTCCCCCTCCCATCCCCAGCACCTCCAGGAATGATCCCCAGCATCACTGGGTGTGGCTCCAAAACCAAAACTTAACTATGTACGCAATATAGAGAGAACACCTCATGCCAGAGAGCAGAGAGACTAGATAAGGCATTTGCCTTGCATGTGGCCAACCCTGGTTCAACACCGCAGTGCAAGGACAGACAGGAGTACCCCCTAAGCACTATGAGGTATATCCCCCAAACACATACACAAAAAATTTCTTGGTTAAAACCAAGACTTAAAAAATGAAGTATATTACTACCGATGATTTAAAACTGGCATGTAGCTTAAGCAGTATTTGCATGTTAGAGACCCTGAATAAGACTGTCCCCTGCCAAATTACCACTCAAAGTAGTTCCCACAACAACTAAAAGAATTTCACATTTTAATAACTAGAACAAAGAAAATTGTATGTCACCAAATGGCTAAAATAGAACACCTATTTTACTAATGACTAACAAAAGAGCGTGGTTGGTTTGAGACAAGAAAGACTTTCAGGGAGGAATCCAAAATCACTCTGTGGGACAGAGAAGGCAATAGGAAGATAAAAGAGTACACAGGGCAAATGCAGTTCCCTATCAACAGCATGCAGACAATACATATACCCACACCAAACATTAAAAGAATCCAATTTTCTCCAACAAAATTCCAATCCCAATAAAAATAAAAATTAAAATCCTACCAAGTAATAGCAAATGTCCAAAACAAAAAAATTAAATTATTGCATAAAAATTCAAGTTGAAACCCAAACATTCATTAAAAACTTTAGCACAGCTTCACCCTACCACCCCTCTCTTAAGGAACTAACAGACTGTTCATTCACAGTAATGAAAATCGAGGGGACGTCTTTTCTCCTATTGCATCATACAGATTTGTTGAGTAGGAATGGGAAGAGTGGCATACTCTTTTTTTTTTCTTAAGAGCAAATACAAAGAAACCAATGAGCTGAGAGCAGGGTGCTAATCTTGCATGCGACAGACCCAGGCTCATCCCAGAAATCCATCCTTCCATGCACTGCCAGGAGTGATCCATGAGCACAGAGCCAGGTTTAAGCATACCACCAGGTGTGCCCCCAAACCCCAAGCCCAACAACAAACAGCTAGTATACTAATTTAAGATTTCAAATTCAACCACAATGTTTTAAAATCCCTAAATCCAATCTCTCCAGGGCATTTCCAACAACCAGATGTAATTAGACTGAAATTTTATGTTTTTCCATAATTACAGTCTAGACCAATTATACTCAACCCAAACCAACTCCTTTACTATCCTGTACAAGACTTTTATATATATTTTTCCCTCTAGTACAGTTTAAAAAACTGGCTTAACACTGTGAAAACCAAGTTTTAGAAAGAACAACTACATTTAAACACAAAATTAGTTACATGTTTTAAGTATTAGTGACAGAATGTATTTGCTTACTCAAAAAAACTCACTTCCTTTCTTTAATTCCTTCCACGTTTATCACTGCCATTAGCAACGTGGCCTTGGGTTGCTTAAATTTTCTTTTGACTCACATGTGAGTGGGGAGTTAAGATGCCCTCACTCCAGAGGTTCTCCTGTATTCCCGACATACTCCTATCTTCACTATGTAGGAGCAATCCAAGTTCCACTTACAGACAAGGTCATTGACTCTAACAGCAATACCATTTATTTACATAAAATATACATCTGTTGTTCATTCACAGTACCTAACTCACAGTTCCCTAAAAGCTTAGAATTTCCTACAATTTGAGAATAATAAAGGTCTTTTGTTACCTTTGGAAGGACCTAAAGATACAGACTGGTTGGCAGAAAAACTGACCACAAAATGAGAGAGCTAAAACTTTCAATTCCACTCCCAGACCTTCAGGAAGGATAAAGGGACTAGAGGCTAAACAAGTCACCAATGGTCAATGAAGTCATCGATCACATCTGTTATGAGTCTATGTTAAAACCCAAGTTGGTGAAATGGTTAGGTACTGGGAAAGTAATGTACCTGTAGAGGTCATGAAAACTTGGAGTTCCTAACCTGTAGTGTTCTTCCAACTGGCTGTTCTTAAATAATATCCTTTGTAATAAGTTAATAGTCTAGTGAGTAAATGGATTTCCTGAGTTCTATGAGAGAATCTAGCAAATTAAATGCAACTGGGGTTTTTGGGGAACTTCTGATTTATAGTCAGCCAAAACACAAATAGCAATCCTAGTATGTGACTAGCCTGGAAGGAGAGAAGGGAGGTGCAAAGGAGAGCAAAGAAAATCTTAAGATGCTGATTCTTTTACCTTCAGAATCTGATGCTATAACCAGGAAGGAAGACAGTGTCAAATTTGGGTGGAATTCTCAGGCATCCCACTGATGTCCAATAATAGTGTGAGGGTGTGGGGTAAGCTACATACA